GTTAGCCATTGTTCAAATTTGTTGTGAAGGCGTGAGGTGATTACAAGAGACAGCGTTTGCATTATTTATACGGATCGTATCAAAGTCTGTCTATAGGGGTTTATGAAGTATATTCTCTATTGCCCGTGGCAGAAAATAAGACTGAATCGTTTTAAATCTAGCGTTAAGAACTGGCCGCGAAATATTATCCTTCTGACAGTTCGTTTGGTCATTTAAATGAACCTTGAAATTGATCTTGGGGTTAAAGGGCATGATAGCCAGGGGACGTAACCAGCAAACGCAGTCTTTGTAGTCACTGGAAAATGGAGACAAACATAACGGAAGCTTAGGGTAAAGAGGTCAAGCCTAATAATTCGTGCGGGATTCATTGAATTGTTCCGTTATTGTTTTATTTTGAATTATATAAAACATGCAGAAAAACGTATTTAAAAGGTGTTTTTTTTATTCTAGTGGACGAACTTGTCAACTCCTCGGAGTCCTCGGACACATAAAGCTAATTATTAGTATTTTTTGCCGATGCATCGATAATACAAAAAAGTACCGAGAATCGAATCGGCGTCAGTTTCATTCCGATACATGCCAATATCGAAAGCAGCCAAGATCTTTTGGAGATAAACCTATATTTCAAGTTTTGTCAAAATCGGATATAATTGTGACCTGTAGAGTGTCCACAAATTGTGGATGGATGGACAGGGGCGACGGCAATATACGTCCACATGAAAATGTGGGCGTATAAAAATTGTGACCTCTAGAGGGTCCATCTCGTATTGCATACTTTTACACAATTTGCCTGCAAAGAGCAGCCATTTTGTCGGGCAGTTTCATTTCGATTTTCCCGAAATTCGAATTCAACCTTCATTATGGGGAATGGTGAAATATATTTAAATGGTTTTTAAAATCGGAAAAAAATTTGTGACCTCTAGAGAATCCGCAAGCTAAAAATGCGATTTTTCGAACAATCCGGAGCCATAATCCAGAAAGTTACGTTCGGATATACGCGATTATCAAAAGGAACAAAGATCTTAGTGTGTAATGGTGATATATTCTATAGTGCTCCTACGGCTAGTCAGATAGCCGTAAACGGTTAGAACTGGACGGTTAAACGGTTCGAATTCAACGGTATGGTTATACCAACGTGTCATGTCCGACATTACATAGAGTTGCATCTGATTATATTCCTCTTTATAATAAAACTTGCCCGTTGTCATTTTGTATTTGATGTTTGAAAATCTTAGAATGTAACAGTCGTCCTACGATGTCGACTGCTAAACTATTAATAGCCCTCGTCGAAGTCATACGGCAAAATAAACGGTTCTGACTTTAGCTGTTGTTAATCCAATCTAAATACTTCTCGGCATTTCTAACTATATTCTACCTTGTTTAATATTTACTTAAAAACGTAACCACCATTCAAAATATAATCATAAAGGTTAGAAAATGACATTATAGTAGATTCGTTACGACATTCGACACATTTCATATCTTGTAATTTCTCGCGAGAATTCTACTTTGGATTTTAGTTAAATTAACTAATCATAAAAATTCTACTTGCAAACAAGGAATTATTTCTTTATTGTCCAATCAATAGACGCCTTCCAATTTACTTTATTCTATTCTCAGTAACATTGTGTAATCGTAATATTATCCATATGTCACGTACGTAGGGAAAAAGAATATTGTTTTGTATATTATATTATATTGAATTAAAAAATGTTTCAAATGAACCAAGTTAACCAGGTAAACGAATAACAACCGGCATTAGATAGTATAAATTTTCATTAAAGAATTGTACATTTCTATGAAAAAATTCCTGAAATTTTTGTGCATGTAATTCCTTTTAGGCTAGTATAGCGTGCGCACACGAGTAATGACTCGCACCTCCTTACAAGCTCTGTTTTATGTTTAAAATTGATACCTTACGGTTAAACGGTTACTAAACGGTTAATAGCTACGGTTATTTGAATAACAAAAAGTCCTACACATAGGAGCACTAATATTCACATGTTTTGTTTAAATTGGATAAAAATTGTGACCTCTACATGGACGGCAAGCTAAAACGTGATTTTTTGTACATTCAAGGGCAATAAATCAGGAAGTTACAATCCGATACGCGCGAATGTCGAAAAGAATCATCTTTGGGTTATAAACATGTATTTCAGCTCTCTTCAAAATCAGGTCCACAAGCTTGATATACCAGATGCTATACACTTTTTGCGTACGAGGGGCGGCCATTTTGTCCGACAGTTTTGACCCGATTTTCACAAAATTCAAACTCAACCAAAATTACGGTGTAACAGTGATATATTTGAATGTTTTTTTAAATCGGATAATAATTGTGACATCTAGAGGGACCTCATGCTAAAAACGCAATTTTTCGTACAATCAGGGGCCATAATTCAGGAAGTTATCCGATATGCGCAAATATCAAAAGGAATCAAGATCTATGGGTTATAAACATACATTTTCAGTTTCATCAAAATCAGAAGAAAATTGTGACCTCTAGAGGATCCACAACATTGATATACCATATTTTTACGCTATTTGAGTACCCAGGGTGGCCATTTTGTCAGCCATCCTTATGGTGTAACGGTGATATAATAATACGTTTTTTTAAATCGGATAAAAATTATGATCTCTATAGGATCCACAAGCTAAAAACGCGATTTTTCGTACAATCAGGGTCCATATTTCAGGAAGTTATGGTCCGATATGCGCGAACATCGAAAGGAACCGAGATCTTAGGGTGATAAACCTATGTTTCAGGTTTCGTTGAAATTGGATAAAAATTGTGACCTCTAGAGTGTTCACAAGCAATTGTGGACGGACGGACAGACTGGGGCTATGACAATATACGTCCATATAAAATTGTGGGCGTATAAAAACACGATTTTTCGTACAATTAGGGGCCATAATTCAGGAAGTTACGATCCGATATGTGCGAATATCGAACGGACGGACAGGGGCGACAACAATATACGTCCTCATAAAAATGTGGGCGTATAAAAATTGTGACCTCTAGAGGGTCCACAACCTTGATTTACCATATTTTTATGCTATTTGAGAACGAGGGGCGGCCATTTTGTCTGTCAGTTTTGGGCTGTTTTCACGAAATTCAAACTCAACCATCCTTAGGGTGTAACGGTGATATACTAAAACGTTTTTTTAAATCGGATAAAAATTATGACCTCTATAGGGTCCACAAGCTAAAAAGGTATTTTTTGTACAATCAGGGGCCATAATTCAGGAAGTTATGGTCCGATATGCACGAATATCGAAAGGAACCGAGATCTTAGGGTGATAAACCTATATTTCAAGTTTTGTTGAAATCGGATAAAAATTGTGACCTCTAGAGTGTTCACAAACAATTGTGGACGGACAGATGGACGGATAGGGGCGAGGACAATACAAGTCCACATGACAATGCGATTTTTCGTACAATTAGGGGCCATAATTCAGGAAGTTATGACCCGATATGTGCGAATATCGAAAGGAACCGAGATCTTTGGGTTATAAACATGCATTTCAAGTTTCATCAATATCAAATTAAAATTGTGACCTCTACAGGGTCCACAACCTTGATATACCATATTTTTACACTGTTCGCGTACAAACGGCAGCCATTTTGTCCGGCAATTTTGGTCCGATTTTCATGAAATTCGAACTAAACTTTCGTTACGGTGTAACGGTGATATGATCAAAAGGTTTTTTAAATCGGATAATAATTGTGACCTCCAGAGGGACCACAAGCTAAAAAACGTGATTTTTTGTACAATCAGGGGCCATGATTCAGGAAGTTACAATCCGATATGTGCGAATATTGAAAGGAACCGAGATCTTTGGGTTATAAACTTACATTTCAAGTTTCATTAAAATAGGGTTAAAATTGTGACCTAAAGGGTCCACAAGCTAAAAACGTGATTTTTCGTAAAATCAGGGGCCATAATCCATGAAGTTTCAATCCGATACATGCCAATATCAAAAGCAACTGAGATCTTTTGGAGATAAACCTATATTTCCAGTTTTGTCAAAATCGGATAAGAATTGTGTCCACAAACAAATTGTGGACGTCCGGACGGACAGGGGCGACCACAATATACGTCCATAGTGAGAAGACAAAATCTTGCTTACCTCGCTAGAGTCAGTATGTGCAACACAACATGCTGTTAAAAATCCGTCCTCTTCTGCTAAATATTGAGGTCTAGATGTGGGGTGGCCTACGGATTTACATGGCTTAGACATATAAGACGAAACGAAATTTAGGTAAGCTGGGGTGGGGAAGAATTAGAATTTGAAAAGCTGAGAAACTTCAGTCAATTATTGCTTTGCCTAGTCCAATTACAATCAAATTTTTTCAAAAATTCCAATTTCTTTTCGTCTTATATGGCAAATTTGTGTGCTGCCCTGTATTTGGATTTCAATGGCGTTAGCCAGGCCGTATTTTTAACAGCATGTTGTGAACATACTGCTGATCGGTCTGAGGCGAAGGCAAGAAGCCGGAATTAGATCAAATGGACCGAACATTTTGATCCGAGTAAGTGAAGATCCGACTTACGCGCAGAAATTTAATAAGAAAAAAATGCGGGATCAAAGGGTCCAAACAATTTTATCCGAGTTGAGCAAAGATCCGACTTAAACAAATCCGACTTGTGCGAGGTTTACTGTAATCTAAAATTTACAGTTGACTGGTCACTGTCAAATTTAATTGGCACCTGCCTTGTATTTACATCAACATAAATCATACAGGTGATTTGTGCTAGTGTTACTACCAAGTGTTATGGGCTACATGGCGACTACTCATTTCAACCCTTCAATCATGAATACAAACTTTTAAAACAGAGTTTATGGACTTTTCTGAACTGTAACTTTCTGAATCTATTCACCTCCAGTACAAAACTAGGGACAGTACGAAAGCAGTCAGTTGAACAGATTGGGTTTTTTCGACAAGTTAAAGACGAGCAACTTTATTACTTTACAAAACTATAAATTGTCAAATAACTGACCTTTCTTCAATCAGATCAATGAAGTGATCAAACAGATCGTTTGGTGGCTTCTTGGTACTGGATTTGGGACTTGCTTTAATTATAGGTGGAGGTTCCTGAAACGATCAAAGAATATATTGTACACAATGTATCAGGAATGGGACCTGGGGCATTACAACAACACAAATCACTATTCTCACTTTACGGTATTTAAACTGTAACAAGCCAACAGTGAGGCTGATGTCCCCCGCCGAAATCTCAAAATAAATAGATGACACATATTAATTAATCACACATTTATTTTTTTCGAAAGTATCGAGCAATCATTCTGATTATCAACTATACACTAAGTTTCATCACTCTCTATCAGATAGAATCAAAGTTATCTTATCCCAAAGCAACGACAAAGGAAACTGCTTATCACTGCTTAGAATTAAGCTCGATAGGTTAATCATTGAACTCAGTCAAGACGAACATCTACATCAAGTTTCAACATTCTACCTCAATTAGAAGAAGAGTTGTTATGTTCCAAAGTCTTGACTAATCAAAATGCTTATCGTTCCTTAGCCTAATAAGAAAATTCTCATCATCGAACTTAGCCAAGGTATTGATGTAATGAAACTATACACCAAGTTTCATCACTCTCACTTAATTAGAACTAAAGTTATCGTGTCCCAAAGCATCAACAGATCAAACTGCTTATCTCTGCTTACCCTAAGCAGAAAATGCTCATCTTCGCATTCCATCAAGGCATTGATGTCATAAACATCTACACCAAGTTTGAACATTCTAGCTCAATTAGAATGAGAGTTATTGTAAGTCTCGGCCAATCAAATTGCTTATCGCTCTGCTTACCCTGAGCAGAAAATGCTCATTATTGAACTTAGTCAAGGTATTGATGTAATGAAACGATGCATCAAGTTTCATCACTCTCACTTAATTAGAACTGAAGTTATCGTGTTCCAAAGCATCAACCGCCTTTTGATTGCAGGAAATGTTGTACGTTTAAGAAATAATAGGCGAAAGACCGAAGACATTTATCGTTCAAGTTCGTTGCAACAACCTTTGTGGGAGATTTTATTTTTTTAAATTACACGTCTCTTTGTACTAATTTAAAAAACATGATCTCCACACATTCGGCATGTGCCAGTATTTAATAATTCTTTTTTAAAAATGGAATTCTTTTTAACCTAATCACCTAAAAAATAAACATTACACGCGTAGGAATACACGCGAAGTTTGTTGCCGAGTGCCATTTTGGCCAATCAAAATAAAGAAAACGTTTAGCCCCGATCCTTCAATCATGGCGTATTATAGTCAACAAGGACACATTTTTCTGGCATTCTGACCAGAAAAATGAAGTGCCTTATTCATCAGAATGCAACACAGCCCTGCAAGTTACTGGTTTTTAATGGCAACACCTGGAGGCATTGTGTGGAATATTCAAAACAGTGACAGACTTTGGATGGAGAAGAAAAAAACATTGCAATCACGTATTGAGATGTGTTTGAAGGTATGTTAGTATGTTATTATTAGTTATTTTATTATTATTATTTTCTTAGTCTTAGTATTTAAATTTTTTCTAGGCTGTGAGTGTTCACGTTGGTTGTTGTTAAGAAATTAATAATGTACTTGTTCACAATACATGGTATCACGCAAACCAGTGGTGGGCAAACTTTCAAGTTTTAAAACAAAACTGAAGCCTAAACTGGTGAAGGGCAAAACATTTTTATGAAACATAACTAACAAATTACATTAGTCATTAATTATAATGAAAAAGGTTATGAAATATCATTTTCAATCAAGTAATATTAGAAATATGGAGTACAGCACATAATATTTAAAATTACATTCTTATTAGAATCATTTTAGTCAGGTTCCATGGAACTTTGTCAAATTTATATTCCGTCGGTGATTGGTCTAAAACAAAACCTGCCGTTTTGTGGGAGCATAGTTTGGAATAGCCTTTACAGAAAAATCAATGGCAATTAGTCTAAGCCGTAAAAAGATCTGCAAAGATTATTGATCCTACAGGCGGAAATGCTATTTAAATAAGCAATTTTAGATTTTGATTTCATATAGAGATTGCATTGCTCAAAAAAAAAATTCACACATGTGACATACAATTATGTTTTTTCTATCATATTTCCTATTTTCTTTAGGAACAAAGGAAGAAGCTTCAAAGGTGAATCAAAAAGATGTTCCTGTAAAGTTGCTGCTCTTTCCTGTACAGATCTATGTGGATGTAAAGACTGTCAAAATTCCACACCCACAGAGATGGCTATGGATGATAATGATGATGATGATTATAATTTTGTTTTATCTTATAGTAAAACTAATGTTTTAAATCTGTATCATTAGTCGAGTTTAAATTTTGAACAGTTTTACAATTCAAGTAATCTTTGTTAATATTGAACCTATCATTGAACTCGCTATAACATATATTAACCATAACAAATTCATTATGCATATTTTGTACACTTTAGTCTATGAATGATTTAGTATAATTATAAAATCAAAATCAACATGTTTTATTAAATTTTAAAATGACTTTGTAAAGATGTTTTTACATACCTATTGTATGCTGATTCAAGCCTATAAATTCATATCTTATCAACAGAGCTTGTACATACTGTTTATTTCCATATTCATTTTCATTAAAATCAGAACTTTTGTCAATTAAAGTCATTACAGTAATATTTAAAAGAGCTAAATCACTAACACTTGAGACCTAGAAATTGACAAAAGTGGGTCGCAACGCATATAATACTGTAGTATGAATGTATATAAACTGATTTACATTCAATGGTTTCCGTTTTTACTCCAATTTCAAATCATCTATGTTCGGCGAAATAAGCCAGCAGTCTCAAGCGAGTGCAAATTTCTAGCGTCTGGTTATTCCAGTCTATATACGCCGTTTGATTTGGTGCAATGTGTCTAGCCTCATCCCTCGAGTCTCTTGATACAACTGGGGCTGAAGCGCATTATGGTACAAGATTCGTGTACAAATGGTAAAATGTTTATTTTGTCTTAAATATTGGATATCAAAAGCCCATCTTTTTCCGGTAAGATCACAACATGAATGTTGATTTAATTTGACAAATAAATCGTGTTTTCAAAGTTGAAGATTTTGGATGATATTGAGTTAGAGACTTGGCTACTTTAATGTTTAAATTTTGAACTACATGTATTAAAAATCTTAACTATTTCTTTATATATCAGACATGTGCAGCATACATATTTATTTTAGTCTATTATGGTACATTTTTTCTCAGTTGTTTGATGTTAATTATCAATGAATTAGTGTATATGTAGTGTGTACATGTGTGTGTGAGTGTATGTAATATATATATGTGTTTATTTATGTATTTGATTTATTATTGTAATTTCATTATGTTTTGATTGTAATATTTATATGTTTGTATTTTTTTTTTTTTTTGGAGAGTGGGGTTGCCTGCTCTATAATCCAATTATCTTTAATAAATAATGTTAAAAAAAATAATTTATTTTTAAAACTCCCATAGACCGCTCCTTTGAGCAAGACCAAGTAGTCTATATATATTTTTTAAAATAGGGGAATGGACAAACAAGGGACATTTTAGCCAGTTGTTAGAACACAACCTGTATTTTACCTATGCATTAATTTCAAAAAGTCATAATTTAGCAAACACAAATAACTGTCCACAAAACATCAGTTAATTGTTATTACATTGTCACACCTTATTAGGGGTGCTTTTGTGGGTATATTGATATTAAAAGGTATTTCCAACCTTATATGGAGGGTTCGTGGATTAAGCAGTGTATGGGGGGGGGGGGGTGCTGGGCCTTGCATTTGATTTATGCATAGTTATATTATTTGGATGCTACAGTGTCGACTTTATTAGAGATGAGGAAGGGTGGGCTTAGGGGATCTATTCTAACCAGTTAATATTAGGGTGAACTCGACAATGCAAAGTATGTATGTCTATACACGCAAAGACTACAGTAAGAAGAGAGCCTCTAATAAAATATAGCTTCACACACCTTGATTGATTTTGATATTTGGCAATTATCTATATTTATATTCGATTATATATAGGCCTATATCATTGCTATCAAACAACATTTCCAACCCTTCTCAAATTATCTTAATACTCGGAGCTGTGGTGGGACGTTAAACACGATGCATGCAAATATTAATTCCACAGTGTCGTGTAGGCCTACTTTCTTAAGAATAATAAATTGATTCATCACATTTACACAGGCTACAAACAGCTTAAAATTTGTTAAGAGAGGACAAGCCCGTCAGGTATTACCGACAGCGGCTTCACGGGTGTAAGAGAGGTAAAGCTTGTCTGGCATCGGGGAAAACTTTCCGTCTGATGGGGTGGAGGGTCCGAAAACACGGCACATGTGACATAATCGCCAAGTGGTAAGCAGCTGTCAGTTGGACACTCTACCCAATGAGTCATCGCTGACCTAAATCTTTCACATTTATGCACTTATTACATTTTAGCTGACACCGGTAAATACCAGTATTAATAGTGCGCACTTTCTTTTCATTAGAAATATGATTTACAACGAGTTTGGCTAAAAAAAAAATCGACCTAAATATATTATCGCAAAACAACGACATTGATCTATTAAATTCTCCTTAAGGTCACGTGTATTTACTGTTATTCGCTATTTACTAGATTTTCATTGGCTGAAAGCTCGCCGTCTCACTACTTTTATTATTGCGAGGACAAAAAATGCTGTCGTTTAGATTATTTGTTTAAAACGTTTCTGGCACATAAATTGGAGTGTGGCAGTTTTGTTTACAATACATTAGGGTTATTTCTCGAGAAATAAATATTAAAACTTTCCACAGCGATGAGTTGCAACGACTTTTGAAAACTAAGCTAGTTAGAACTTCCCAGTCCTCCGCCTATAATAACTGATTCCTAAGTCAATCTGGAAGACAATAAGCCGTTGGGCTGACAGTAAGTAATACCCTGACATCTTTGCCCAGTGCCTGCCCCATTCAGTATTTTCCTAGTAAGATTGGATGTCTCTACTTTCCATATATAACAAATTTGCCTTGCGTTTATAGGAAATTACATACCCTATAAATACTTTCTTGAGAATGTATCTTTAA